AGCAAAGGCCTGGAGCCTGGCTGACTCTGAGAACTGGGTCACCAAGGCATCTTTCCTGGGCGGGATTCCAGATCTAGTCAGCTACACTATCACCTGGGAAGAATCATTACTTGTTGTTGTTTTTTTTTGCCAGGGTGTGGGGTGGGGGAGCTATGTTTGAGGGAGGGGAACAAGTATGCTGAGAGAGACAGAGATGAGAAAAGTCCTAGCTTGCCCAGCATTAGGCACCGTGGCAGTCACAAGCCTCTCTTCCTCTGCTGTAAGCAAAGATTTTCACAGGCAGGCAAGCCAGCCTAGTGCCCACCTGTGCATACCTGCCTGCAGCACATCGGAGCTGAAGCCACCTTCTCAGAGCCAGATATGACTGCTGGCTCAAGCAGCTCCATGCCTCTGGGGTTCCAGCCTGCTCTGCCTGGGGAGGCCCTGCTCTCCATTCTTCTGCTCCAAAGGAGAAAGAACAAGAAAGAAGGCATGTAAATTCCCCACTCAGGGCACAGAGGTGAGCACTCACAGGGGCCTGGCTCATCTAGCTGCCTCAAGCAGGCTCCTCTTTGGAACCAGCTCAGGAACGCTTGTTAGGTCTTGTGTCAAGTGACCCTACAGATGGCCCTGACAGATTGCATTAGGGGAAGGTAGCTCTTCCCCAAATTTTCCCCAGAATTCACGTATCTACACCCAGTCTCACACATTCACCACGTGTTTCCAAGAAGAGTACTGGCCACAGACAAGGTCAGGCAGCCAGACCAGGGAACCTGGGGACTCTTTCGGGGTCTTTTTCATTTTCCTATCAAGTTGGAACGTTGGCCATAGCTTTGCTCTGTAAGGAGGCTCCCATGCTGTACAACCTCCCACTGCTGGCACAAAGGGCTTATGTTCTCATTCATCTGAAGTCCATTCCTTATTTGAAATGCAGGATTTGGTTCCCAAGTAAACTGTGTGCGTTCAAGCACACACACGTTTTGGGATCAATTTATTTATTTTTAAAAGTCACGACTGTCTCTAGCCAGGAAATAGCTTTTTAAGCTTGCAACGTTTTCTCCACCCTGGTCACCTGCACAGGCTCTGGAAATCGCTTAAAGATAACCAGGGATGGAAGTCTGTCGGGACCATCTTGGTGGAGAGATGTGTGGAGTGGTCCAGGGTGGTCAGGGATGGAGGTGGTGGGGAGGCAGAGGAGGGTAGAGGTTAGAGAAGGTTTGTGAAGAAGGTCGGTGCCCAGACTCTGGTGGTCAGTTTGAGATTGAGAAACTGGGCAGCTCGGCAATTACCTGGCTACACACTTACCTGGGCAAACAACAGCCTTTCTGAACCTTGGTTGCTGCATTTATAACAGGGATGAGGACTGAATTCCCTCAGAAGAGATCGTGGGTGATAGCTCACGCAGAGATGCAGGTGCCGGGTGATTCAGTTGTTAAAACCAAACCTAGTCAAGTCTCACTCATAACCCCGCTGCCATCAAATCCATGCCAATTCACAGAGACTACATGGGGCAGAGTAGAACTCTGTGGAACCCCGTTTGGGTTTCCAAGGCTGTAAA